CAAAGTCAAACATCACCACACCCACCACCACCCAGGAGAGCAGAGCAGCCAGGGCGATCAGCAGCTCCACAGACATCTTCAGCTTCCTGAGGAGCCCCAGAGCTCCGGACCTGAGCGAACCGGGCTGTGGTGCTGCTGCTCCATTGGACCCACTGGCTGCAGCGGTGGAGGCGGATTTGGCCCCTGAAAAAACAGAGGTTCAAACATCATTCTGTGGGCATTTCAGTGTTTGGGTCAGTGGTGTTTCCTCTTTTTACACTGTTCAACTAACTTCTGTAACTGCTGCACTGGACCATGAGGTTCTTTTTCATTTGGAGTTTAAGTGCTTATTGTGTTATCTAACACCTGCAAAGCATATTTAGATTGAAAAAGCTAAACCAGTACATAGGCATGTGTCACATATTGTCCAGTATCAGCTTTAGTATGTGAGCATCAGAGTATTTATAGTGGTTGCTGCACATCACTGCTGATAAGCAGCATGACATTGCACTACAGAAATCCCAATATTATGTGTCACAATTACACAGTTTGTCCACCAGAGGGCACTGACATTTTTCATTTTTTAAAAAATATTCCCTGGAGAACATATCAAGATTTAATATTCATAAAGGATCCCAACCCTCTGTCTTTGCACTGGTTTCTCAATTTGCACATTTTGTACAGTTGTTTTATTTATTTTATTTTATTTTATTCACCTATTTTATTTGTCATTTTTTAAATAGTATTTTCTGCTGCTGTACCACAGTAATTTCCCAGACTGGAATAAATAAAGTATTTTTTCTATTCTATTCTATTCTAAATATGCTTATTTATGTGTATTCAAAAATGATGGTATCCACCATATATATTAAAATTTAGAATCAGTTGGGTGCTGGAAACCACAATACATACATCTAAGTTTTCTTTTGCTGCATAAATATATAATTTCCACAGTTACATGAAGCAGCATGTTGAATTAATGGATGCATCAACTATACTAGAAATGTTTAACGCTGTTTTATTATTATTATTCTCTATTTGAAAGTCCCTGTAAAGTAGCTTAAGTCATATCTTAGGTATAAGGAAATATAACCTTTTGAGTGTCATTCTTGTTTATTGAAAGTTAACTGACCAAAAGCACGACCAAGCTGCTTTATCAGAACTGTGATGTGAAGTTTGACCACATCTGACAAGAATCACAGAAGAAACACAGAAAATTTTCATGTGAAATTACAAAAAATCTTCAGACTGTAAAAACTGTGCACACTTGTTCATAGTAAAGAAGCTAACTGTGATCATAACTGAAGAGTTATTAGTAGGTCATTTATAAACACTGCATAAGCCCCTGATATACGTTTATTATTAACATTAAGTTAATATCTTGTAAACCACCAACTAGGAATATTTGTTTGCATTAAAAACGTACATTTCTCCCAATGATTTTATGAAACAACAACTGTTAGACAGTCAAATATCTGACATGGACGTGTGCAGTGGAAAACAGCATCTTTCTTAAGGTGCCTTCTAGTCTAATCCTGCACACGCTGCAGTTAAACCATGACGAGTGGAGGCTGTTTCCCACTCGATGAAAGGATTCACACATTAAATGATGGTGACTGTGTGTCTGATCGTTGTGTTTATTGAATCTCGTTGTCTGCTGTCAGTTCATTTTGTGCGTTTTTTCAGTTCATTTCATTTCAGTTTTATCTGTACAGCGCAGTTTACAACATATGTCATCACATAGCACTTCTTTTCTCATTATTTTTGTATTTATCAGTAATTTGTCAGAAAAGGTGAGAAAAGGCAGGACTCATCTGTCAGCAGGGAGATTGTTCACATGCATTCATGCATTTTCCACTTGTTCAGGACGGTGAAAAATGCCTGTGACAGCGTTTAACGCTGGCCTCGATGTCATCAGCTGACAGGGTGTGAGAGTATCTGTTCAGCTCTGCTTTCCAACCTGGACCTGCTGCCAAGGTGTTAGAGACACCTTCAAACTGTGAATGAACTCTGAACATGCCCGACTCATGACTCACTTCCTCAGATACAAATGGTGTGTGATGAAAAGAACTCCAAACAGCTCCTTCCATCAACTGAATTATTCAGGATGGACAGATGGCGCCAGTGTTCCACCAAACATTTGCACTAATTCTGAAGTCAAATTTCTCGTTATTGCACTTTTCATGGCCACTAAAGCTGTGAAGCTTTAACAAACAAAACATTTAGTAGTGAAAAACCACTTGTTTGAGCAGGATATCCAAGAAAATGAGGAGACTTTAAAGTGTCTGGAAACCAGTGATGGAACACAAATAAGTAGATTTACTCAAACACTGTAGTTCAGTAAAATTTTGAAAACTTGCAGTTACAGAATTAAGCATTTTCATTTAATCTTACATTAACTCCAATACATTTATCTGACAGCTATAGTTACTGCTGATTTCACAGATTTAGGCATTGCGTTAAAAGAATCTCAAAATAAACTAAAAATATTATTAACATTATATTAGCAGTTTCAAACCTTCCTGGCTTGTGACACCTCATGAGAAACCTGCTGGGGCTCTTTGTCGTGATGTTTCAGATGTTTATGAGCCATTTTCTATTCTAAATTTCTCAGATAGATTCATTAAACATTTTTTGAGGCCAAAAGAGGTCAAATAATTTATGAGTTCACAAAAAATATTAAAAGAAAATCCTAAAAGTAAAAACTGATTTGTGCATCATCGCAGTGCTTTTTCCTCATTCCAGCCTCTTGTTCACCTTGCTCCCTGGGGAGGGGCCTGATCCTGTACCAGGGACTACTGGACTACATTTGAATACTGTAACATGTCAGGAATATATAATAGTTCAAATTAAGTCAATCTTGGTTACCTACAGCAGCAACATGCCACTTACACACTGATGCATCAGTTCTAACAATAGAACCATGCCATAGTAATAATATATCAGACAAAGTGAACATTTTACTCCAGAACCAGTATTTCTACTGTTAAAGTATGCTGATAATACTTCTCTGCAGAAGCTAGTAGGATTTCTAATTGAGTTGAGATGTAAGAGACTGTTTTTACTGATTTGTTGCTTATATTTAAGGACAGACTTCTTGGAAACCTGGAGGTCAGCTGCAGCACGTCCGTCACAGTAGAGCCACGCTAATACTCCGGCTACATGATATCTTGTATTTATAGCAACCTACTTTCAACACATCTTCCTAAGAGGACACCGCTTATCAAAACATTTCCATTTATTTATTACACAGCATAATTTATCGAGGATTTCTGACAGTTAATTTGACCAACAGCTGGCTGAGGAAACAGGTGCAACAGTCGTACCTTCAGCCATGGTGGTGTGGAGACTATTTCAGGTAGGATCCGCTGAGCTGGGGGCAAAGCCTCCTCATGCAGAAATGAGCGCCTCAGTAAATCCAACCAGCATCAAGCTTTTTACGTTAAAAAAAAATAATTAAAAAAAGTCCAAGTTAGTAAATTATTCCATTTCCACTTGGTGGTTACAGTCTTGTTTCTTGTTCCATGGCTTCCACAGTTCAAATTCCTCCAAGATAAAAGCAAAAATGGAAGAAAATGGAAACTAAAGCATAAAATTGTAAACTTAAAGGTGGTGGAGAATTTGGAGCTGCCGGTGCGGCAGCATTGAAGAGGGGGGTCTGGGGCCGGTGGGGCAAAGGAAAGCAACGCAGGGGAGGAAAGAGCCAAGCTAAGCACAGGGCTGGGCAGGGTGAGGGGGACCAGACAGAATATCCCACCCAGTGTTATTGGTGCCTCACATGGGTATAGGTCAGAGCAGAGAGCAGGGAGGCTGCAAGGTAACTCTACACCCCAGAAAGTCCAGGTTATTCTTAGCTGGAGCTCTGAGCAACAGCAGCTCTGGCAGGCCTTTTTTGGCGGTTGAAGGGTGTGTAAGATCAGCCGGCCGAACTGGGAACCCCTACTGGCTGCTGCTGTAATCTGCCCGCTAATCAACAAATCAGCTGTCCAAGAGGAGGAACAGACAACAACAACAACAACAACACAGAGGAGGTTTGACGATGAGCAGCAAATTATATTCTCAAGTTTATGGGCTTTTGTGCTTACATGGGGAGCATACAAGTTATTTTATGGTGCTGAGGTTTCGTTTTTCATCACCCACAACTTTTATGGTTTGGCAGCTTCAAAATAAACATGTTTCCAAATTTATAAATTACTTCACCAATGAGCCAGCATTAAAACAGTGCCATCTTGTGACACCTTCTGCAATGTGCAACAGCTTTAACTGCCATGTCAGTTTTCCTGCATGTATAATATATAGTAGAAATGGTTTATAACAAGGCTTATGGCTAAATAAGTAAAACATATATGAAAGGAAAAGCATGTTTTTCTTTGAAAGCATTAAAAAGCCAGACTAAGAGCTCTAACCCTAACCCAGAAAGCTGCTCTAGAGCTGTAAGCCTTTACAACAGCGCTAACATGCCGATACATTACCCATCTTAGTTAGATACAGATGGTGCTGCTGTGAATGCCAGATCTGGTGAAATCACTGTCAAGATAAATTAACCAACGTGGTGGACTGACAGGTTGATTGCCATCCATAGAGCTGCTGCCAAAATGTCTTACAACCTAAAAACCAAAGACATTCCTCTGTGGTGTTAAAACAAACACTGACTTCTTTATTGCCTAAAACGTCAGCCTCCTTTTACCGAGGCTGAACTATGAGCCAAGTTTCCGTGATAATAATCGTTGCAACAACAACAAAAAAGAGAAAAACATGGTTTATAAACTGTGTCAGGCAAGACACAGTCATTTTCATTTGGAAACTATCTGAGTGACTAGTTTGCAGAAGGACTGCTGCAGGTCTGCTTTTTGTTCTGAATATACCTTGTTTTTCCTGGAAAATGTCAGTGATGAATTCTAGGTGGATGCAAATGGTTTGTGCATGAGTGAAAAAAGAGTTGCGCTCTTTTGTACAGCTGCTTACTCAGAAAAACTCCAAGGCTACCTAGAATAGTCAAGAACTTCACAGCTTAGCCAAAGTTTTATGTTGTGTATATGTACACAGAGAAAAGACTTTATTGAAACATCTGAAAAAAAAACCCTGTACATTAGATAAAACAGAACTTGAGCTATTATTGACTTACATGGGATAAACTCTGAGATGTTCAAATAAACAGGCTGCACGAGTAAAACAAATGTGCTCAGACATCAAACACTAGTGTGTCTTTACAGCGTAGGTGCAGCACTGGAGTTCACGGGCCGTATGATGAGTGTGAGCTCCACAGGAACAGGAGGAGGAACGTAGCGCTCCACCCTCAGCAGCCGCAGCAGCAAATCCTCCGTGTCCTGCGGCCAGCGGTAAACACGCGTGTTCTGAAGCCAACACGGGACATGCTTCTGTGTGGAGTGTGGACAGATGAATATTTTAGTAACAGGAAAGTAATCTCAGGAAAATGAGTAACAGCAGCAAAACTTTGTTGTTAAAAAAAAAAAAAAAATACAGCTTTGAACTTGCTTTCTGACCTGCGATGCACTGAGGAAGAGAACTGGTATGAATCTGAAATTCAAGCTGCCTTGCTGGATGTATTCATTCTGCATCTGTGAAAATCAGATTTAAATATTAATATATATATTAGCAGTTCTTCTCATATTCAAACTAAGTGCAAATACTCCAGTGTTTACTTAAGTAGTGTGTTTAAGTACAAATTTGAGAAACTTGTAAGGTGGCAGATTTTATTTTTATTTTTTTAATTACAGTTTTTTTTTGTTCTACAAACCAAAAAATGAACTGACTGAGAAAGTCATCAGTAAACTAACTGAAAATAAAGAATTAAACCAACCACAGGGCCTCTTTTCTGCATATTGATTACTTCATACATAACATTTGTGATACTTCAAACACATTTTCCTGATTTTAACAACATACTTCAGCTTCACTAAACAATGATTCTTTCTCACCATTGAGTGAATATATTTAGTGTGCAGACCGTGATTGTCCACCACAGATCCTTCGATGTCTGCCTTATACTTGGGACTGATGGCGATGATAATCAGGGTTGATGGCTGTTGAAAACAAACAAACAAACACATTTTAGACGCTGCCACGAAAGACAACTGACATACAAAAATGCTGAAAACTGTCAGTTCTCTACACCAACGCACTAAATATGCAATATTGAGTTAACCATTGGGCTACAAGGTGGCTCGGTGGTTTGCACCATTACAGTGATGTGCGGTGAGGTTCATGGCTGGTGAGGCTCTGACTTCATCACAATCTGATTTACAAATATACAGTATGCACTCTACACAGGAGCATATTAGCCATTTAATTGGCAGCAGTTGACGGGTTATGTTTCTTTACACATACAAGCGGTAGCCCACAAAACGTTTCTCTTTTTTTTTTAAGTTATTGTGGTCTTACCTTTACCTTTAAATGAAGTCCATGCTCTGCTCCTTCTGGACAAAATATCCGTTGCTTTATTGTAAAAGTCTCCTGATCTTCCTTCGCTGCACTTGACTTGCTAACTGTACATCGTACCTAATCTAGCTTGCTGTCACTGCCTGCCTCACCTGGAACCTCTTCTCAGCTGTTTATGATCACTCAGAGCGCGAAACACGTTACACACATACAGCTGCTAACAAAAAACACTGAACATTATTATATACATCAGCTGAACTATGGAAAGTCAGTTCCTATATTAAATTTCTGCATGGAGTTTGCATGTTCTCTGGCTTCCTCCCACAAGTCCAAAAACAGATTGAGCTTAATTGGCGATTGTAAATTGTCTGTAGGTGTGAATGTGAGTGTGCTTGGTTGTCTGTCTCTAAGTGTAGCCCTGTGATAGACTGGTGACCTGTCCAGGTGAACCTGCCTTCACCCTCAGTCAGCTGGGATAGACTCCAGAAAATACATATGTAGTCACATTTAGACAGATTTTGTCATTACAGATTATCTGACAATACAAATGACACAATTTTCAGGCAGTAACACAACTACAGTAACACAAACATGTGCCAGAATTAGATTTAAACTGCAATATCCACTTACATCCTCAAGGTAGCTGTCCTTCCAGTGGTTGATGTCCATGCGTCTAATGGGATTGTCAAATAAATCCATCTGGGAAATTAAAGCTGGAGCTGTAATTTGAACATTTATGTGATTTTGGGAGCAAATAGAGTCACTTTTGTCAAGATGTGGGAGCTTACAGCAGGTCGAAAACCTTGCTTGGTGAGGAAGTCTACGAAGGGGACCATCTCTGAAGACACGTCCGAAGAGTACGTTATAAAAACATTTCCTGAAAAGAGAGGAGATCATAAAATCATCCAAAGTTACACCAAGTGACCAAATCACAGTATTTCTCTGATATGTGCTGGTCGCTGTGCTGTTACTTCTTCGTGCAGCTTTGGATGAGTTGTTGGAATCCAAGATTCGAGATTTGTCTTGATCTGTGTAGAGTTTTCAGAGCAGCTTGCCAAAAGCCTGCAGCTGCACATTAACATTTGCAGGAATGTTTAATGTGCCTTCTCCTTAAAAATATAGAAACTAAATATTGAAGGAAGTCCAGTTTTTGTTGAGACCAGTGTCTGTTATTTCAAAGACTAGAAGTTGCTGTTTGTTGCACGTTGTACTGAAACATCCAATCCAATGTATGCAACAAAAAGCATTTTCATAAAAATGAAGCGACATCTCAACACACTGACAAACAGCAGTTAACAATGATCATAAACGTACAGTAAGTTTGACATAACTGATTTTTACTGCATTCCTGTGTGAGCCTGTTTCTGTTTTTCGGTGCAGTTTCTTCGACTTTTGCTCACCTTTCCAAAAATACTTTAAAGGTAATTGAATTTAATCAAGAAGAAGTTAGAATGTGCTTGTCTGATCAGATTGAACGACAACATTTGAAAATAAAAATGTACATTTTTACGTTACTTTAATGAGTAAACTTTGCTTTCCTCCTGTTCCAGCAATACAAGCACTTTGAGTGTATCTTTTGTTTTTAAATCATTTTAACAAGCACTCTTAACAGGTTTAGCAAGTTTATAAAGACCCATAAACATAATACCACACCCGGACTAATCGCCTCTCACCTTGCCACCTCTGGTATGCACTAGTTTTGGTAATAACACGCTTCTCAGATATTAAACTGTTTAGGTAACCGAACACCTGAAGCTCAAGCACACGACTCACGGCACTGATCCGGCAGACTAATGGTTCTTCTTTTCTCCTGCGGATGTGGGACAGACTTCTCCGCTCCCGCCGAGTTCAGGTTCATCACGCTGACCTGTGAGACTTCTTCCACGGGGGGGACGGAGAACTGAGGTACATTGACAGTGACGCTTCCCTGAGCCACACTGTCAGGCACAAAGCTGTCATGATGCTGAAGCCTGATACAGAAAAATAAAAAACACACAGGTAGAGGCTGTCACATCACCATATTTCTCAGGGAGTGGGAAGTGCGGCTTTTAGGCTTTTTCTGATCTTCCTTTACCAGTTTTGTGGCTCATTCTGTGGCCTCCTGTGCTGGCAGGGAGCGGACCGGTGGCACGGCTCAGGAAAGCATCTGTTGACAGAGTTGAAGTCGCCTTCTGCCGCGGAGCTGTAATTCCTCACATCCGTAGCGTGACGGAGACCTGTCGATACAGTTCAAACTTTTCATGAGGTGGGTCTGTGCATGGAGGAGTAAAGTTTCTAAATTATGATTCAGAGGCAAAGACTTAATCCTGTGCATTAATGCATGAGAATGTTGTGATAAAGAATAAAACTATTTGTAATGACTGTTCCAACGTCAAAGTGAAATTCACAACTTGTAGTTACTCTGACATAAACACACCAATTACACAAAAATAAAGTTTGCTTATAGTCAATCATGTTCAGGCTGCCAAATACAATATTATTTATAATAATAATGTAATTTTAATCAACATATAAAAACACATTGTACTCTCCAACACTCATGTCTTAAGGTTTACTAAAAGCTCACCTCAGTTCTTCAAATGTTATGTATTCTGTCGGTTTCTGTTTTCTGCCAAATACTGCTTTATTATATATATATATAATACTTCTGCTGTCTATCTGATGCATTTGCACTTAATTATATTTTTTATTCTATTTCCACATTGCACTTTATTAAATCCTGATGTTTCCTTGATATAAAATAGTTTATTTAATGTTATAATGCCTCATGAAAACTATCCAAATTTAGTTATATTGTTGTTCAACCTCAGTATAACGACAATAAAGCTTCTCAACTCTCTACTAAAGATTCACTAAAAACAGGTTTGTTGCCTCGTCTCCATTCTTTGCTGCTCTTTGTCCTCACTGTGTAAGACAGCAGGAAACCTTTCCACTGCTTTGCTGTTTTTCCAGTTAAGTTGTATTTATATGTACATTTTTTACTCTTTTTTTTTTCCTGTCTCGTATATGTGTACCTCTGTTGAATGCTGCTATCAACGATGTGAATTTCTCCACTGTGAGATAAATAAAGGCATATCTTATCTTATCTTATCTTACAAACTTGTATTTTATTATGCAAAAAGTTAGTAAGTAAAAGCCACAGGATGTCCGTCCCCCCCAACTTTCTTTGTACTGTTTTTTTTTTTTTTTTTTTACATTTCACTAATAAAGGCAAACCAATGACAAACAATAAAAAGAGCTGTTTCCTTACCGTAGTTGTGCATGTAATGGTGAGGAATTAAAAAGGGATTCCACTGTTGCCACTCATTGTCAGCTCTCAGCGGCAAAGGAGCCTCGAGTTCTTCCTCTACATCACTCTGAGAATTGCACTCATCCTCCCCACTGAATGTTAAAATCATAGATATGCTTTGCTGGATATGTATTTGCAATTAAAACCAATTTGTAATCTTTTTTTTGTTGTTGTACACAAACATACAGAGGTAGTTGTTTCAGTTACCTGGTTGTGTCTCTGCTTGCAGGCTCTTTTGTTCCAAACTCTTTAGGTCTACAATCCCAACAGCAGCACTCTCCTCTCGAGCCATTTTGCATGTTTTCTGGAGGATCCAGAAAGCAGCTCGCAGGAGGCTGATGATGGAGATTCATCCTGGCAGAAGTCGCTCCTCTAGCGTCTGGCTCTCTGTGCCTCATCGGCTCTACATGCTGCGCAACATGAGCCGACTGCCTCCTAAACTCCTCGTTCACATGTCCACTTGTACACGGGCTTCTGCAGACGTGATCCATGCAGCAGGTTGGTAGAACTTCATGATGATGTGGATTAACATGAAATATTTGATTTACTGTCACTTCAGGGCTCAGAAGACGGAGGAAGCTTTCCGACTCATTCGTGTTGGCCAACACTCTGAGTTCTGGTCCTTCAGATTTCTCCATCTGATCTCAGCATGGGAAGAGTCCTGTAAGCAACAGAGCACACAAGTTAGATATTCTGATGAAAAACACGAGTCAGCTTGAAAAGCTCTGTGAATTTTTCACATCCACAGTAAGAAAATCCTGAGAAAGGAACTGACATGCAGGTATTAATACGTACAAACCACACAGAGAAGTATGGCTCTTACACATAGCAGTTCAAAAGAGGCAATGAGGACTCAGTCTGAACAGAAAGCATAACAATGACCTGCCTGTTTATTACTGGATTCTTTCCTCCTGTGGGTGCACGGGCTTGTGTGTGTTACAGTCTGCTATATGCAAATTCTCCACAGCTTCAGCTGCGTCCAATCAGAGCCAAGAATGTAGAGTGTGTGTGTGTGTGTGTGTGTGTCAGTGTGAGGGTTGTACAGCCAGAAACTTCACTACTTCTGCTGTTAAAGCTAAATTTACCTGCTAAAAAGCTTCAAGAAGTTGTTTAAATGATTGAAAACCTAATATATGAGTACGATAAAGTGGTTAAACACCTTAAAGTGACAGTTTTCTCAAGCAGACGGCTATAAAGAGGTTACAGTCACACAAATATCTAAACAGTTCATAGATTAAGTTATGAAACATTTTCACAATGAATAAAACACATGAGAAAATATACAACGTAAATGAAACACTCCTATTAAATTAGACTCTGCTCGACTAACCTCTGTCCACTAACCGCAGGGTAGACACCCATGAGGTGATTTGCATACATTCAGTCGTGTTGTCTTTGTGTCAAACTCGCCCTGAGGGAAAACCACCAAGCCTCCATCACTCTCGCAGACGCCGCACTCGTTTCAGCTGCAAGTGTTTTCGCAACGATGATGGATTTATGCTGCCAAATATGAAGTCACGCAGTCAAGAGAAGCTTTAAAACCAGCGTTAAATAGTGGCATAATAATAGCAAGATTGTTTATTTCAAAACCAGTTGTGTACGAGTAACAGACAGAGACAATAAATAATGCAAGAGACCAAAAACTTTCTGGAAATCTACTAAATTAGGGTTAAAAAAAAAAAAAGTGATACAAAAAAAAATATCACAGTTTTTGCTCACTTTTTTTTTACCCACAGAACGCAACATAAAGACACACAGGGATGGTGCGTTGTCCTGGAATGCACCGTTTCACGCAGAGAAAAAGAGAAACGTTACGTAATTATAATAAAATGTTGTGGATAAAAAATAAAAAGTATCACATGTAATCTTAACACAGAAGACTGGCCAAAGTGTTGAGGAAAATAGCAACATTAAACAAAAGATATTTGGTCTCGGTGTGTTATTTCCAAATACACATTATGGAGGGACGAACACTGGTACACATCCTTCATTCTCAACATGACATGGCAGTTTGTTTGTTTGTTTGTTTGTTTGTGTGGCCGCTGAAGCAAAAAGACAATGTAGGATTCGTACACAGCCTGCTGCCATACATTAATGCAACATACAGTTTAAAATATTATCAGTATACTAAGCAGTCAGCTGAACAATGGCTGCAGTCGGAGAGGAAGTCATCTCCCTCCCCTTTTTTCCAAACTGCATAAAGCTGAACTAAAAGTTACTTTAAGCCGATCTAAAAATCATTGGCAGAAGCTGAAATGCAATGAATGCACTTATATGCCGTACAGCTCGGGGGTTCGGGTGGAAGAGTCCATGATGCATTAAGTTAGTGTGTATAAAGCATGAAGGCATTCCCTTACAATATAAGAATATTACTAAACATGAAAAGGCAAGAACAGGTGTTATAGTACATCTAAGTTCCTTGAGAAGAGGAGGAGAGAAGTATATGAACCTCGTAAAAAAGGTCTGCGGACTCCCGGAAAAAAATTTTCAGAGATACTTCAAGTCCACAATTTTTAACTGTCACCATTCCAACGATTATTATGTGGAGATCTGGAACCAGCTGTGAGTGTTTCTCTACGAGCCGTGAATCTGAAACAACTGTAACCTCGGATTTAAAAAAAACAAACAAAAAAAACCAAACCCCACACGTTTCCAAATTATCAAAAGTAATAAAAAATGAAACCAAAAAAAAAAAAAAAAAAGAGAAGTAAACAAGCAATTTGTATTTACACTACGTACAAGTTACACAACACAACTCATGTCGTTCATCCATGGCAGTCTTTTGTTTTTTTTTCTTCTTTTTTGTTTTTGAAATCTCAGCGTCCCCTTCCACCTCCGAAACATCCTCTGATCTGACAGTCAGTTTTGCTGCTCCGTCTCCTATGAAGCTTGGAAGTCAAGAAGTCAAGTCGATGAGCTTTTGAGATCAGAGCCACAGGATGAGAGAGAGAGAGAGAGAGAGAGAGAGAGAGAGAGAGAGAGAATGTGTGGTGGTGTGTGGCCCCCTCTGGTGGGAAACCAGTGGAACTACATGAGATGAGGGGGGCGGCGGTCGCTCAGAGGTTATCCCCTGGCTGGTACTGAGGCTCAGTGGCAGTGAAGTAGTCCTCCAAAAAGGCTTGCAGGTACTCGAATGTGGGTCTCTCCTCCGGGTCTTTCTTCCAGCACTGCACCATCAGCTCGTGCAGGGACGAGGGGCAGTCCTGTGGGCACGGCATCCGGTAGCCTCGCTCCACCTGCTCCAGCACCTCGCGGTTGTTCATGCCTGGGGAGAGAAGAGTGGTGAAATTCACACTTTAACTCATTTTTAACTGTAAATACCTCTAGACTTTCTCTATTGCAAGTATCTTATGCTCACAACATACTGCTGCCACCATTTGTTTTCTTTATGTTTCCTTTTTCACATTATTATGACAAATTTCAGTGTTATTGTGACATTTATTTCATTTTTAGAAGCATTTTTTTCCTCCTCCACATCACTGCATCTTGTAAAATTACAGTTAATGCAAACAGCTTAGTTTTTGTACATTTTTAAATTAGACAAATAGAATAAACAGATCTTGATAAAATAACATGATTTTAAGCTTAGATTTGATTAAGTTTCCCAGTGGAACATTATTTCACAGATGATTAGTTCAAGGACTGTCAGAAAGTTAAAAATACAACAATTCTTGATGCTTTTCTACCTAAAATCCTAAATCTTAATCTCTACATTTTCTCTAGTGCATAAAGTTTACATGTTCACAACATACCGCTGCCACCGAGAAAACATTGTTTTAAGAGTTTGTTTTTTCTTTTCCACATTATTATGACATACTTTCATTTTTACAAGCGATTATTTTCCCCTATCTGCATCACTGCATATCTTATTATTATTTCACAAAATGAAGGTTAATACAGTCAGCTTATTGTTGGCCCATTTTTAAATGATAAATGTAGAATAAATGACTTGAATAAAACAACATGATTTGAAACTTAGATTCGATTAAGTTTCCCAGTGGAACATTATGTCTCAGATGGTTAGTTCAAGGACTGTTGGAAAGATAACAATCCCACAATTTGTCATGCTTTTACAGTTTCTGACTCTGATAAATGGTGTTATTTTGGTAATTTACAAAAAAAAATGACAATAAGTCCCAGAATATGTGTCATTTGGTTAATGTAAACTGATGAGTTTTTGCAAATGAGGAAAGTGGAATAAAGTTAATCTGATTAAATAAGATGATTTTAAGCCTAAATTTGGTTAAGTTTCCTAATAGAATGGCATGTCACAGACGATTAGTTCAAGGACTGTCGGAAAATTGAAAATTCAACAATTCTTTTTGTTTTTACAGTTTATGGCTCCGATAATTGGTGTCATTTTGACTTCTTATTTTTATTTTATTTTAAAGATAACATGCCTTTTAAAGCCACTGGTGGGCTTTTGAGTTCAGCGGGTTGACATGAGGGAAGCATTTTGGTCATTTTGTTAACACGTGTGATGGCGTCTCTCTGACACTCCCTCACATCACCTGCTGCCTACAAACAACTAAAGCTGGACTACTTTACTTTACATACAACTTAAAATCTTTCCCTCTAAATTTTCTCCATTGCATACAGTTTAGATGTTCACAACATTCTGCGGCCACCATGATTTTTTTTTATCGTGACATACGTCCTTGTTACCGTTAGATTTGTTTCACTTTAACAAGCAGTTTTTCTTCATCTACATCACTGTATTTTGCATTATTTCACTAAATCACTGTAAAATTTGCCTCTTTAAACCCTTTTCCCATTACAGTGAGACTGATAAACACAGAGCACTGAATGGTTCTAAAATATAATGTAAAATGGCAGATAAACAAGAACATTTCACATTCGCACATTCAGACGGGAACATTTCTCTGCATAATGCACAGTGTCGTGTACATTATGCAACATGCTGCTCTTTTTTTTAGCACACAGAGCCTCGTGTCTCATCAAGGCTCGACCGCTCACACCAGCATTAATCAAACATGAGCAATCAGGTGGAATTGAGAAGTGATTGCATAACGCACGGAGCTCAGCGCTCTCACCTGGGTAGGGCACTCTGCCCTTGGTCACCAGCTCCGTCAGCAGGATGCCGAATGACCACACGTCCGACTTGATGGTGAATTTTCCGTAGAGCGCAGCCTCGGGAGCCGTCCACTTTATGGGAAACTTTGCACCTAAAACGAACAAATTTTGTGAACAAACTGCTGCAACATTTTTCACTCCTGTAACTCCTGGAGATAAACTACAGCAATAACCTTTACTAGGAGTAAGTAGGTCAGTCGTCACTGTGGAGGTTTTTTTTTCCCTTCATCTGTGATTTCATTAGTGATGAGACAAAAGGAAATAATAACATTCCACCGGGGAAATAACGGACCGGTTCCATTATCTCTGTCTCAGTTTGCACTTGGCCCAGGTCGAACAAGTAAACATTTAAACTGCTAACAAATGAGTGAACATGTTGACGGGGTGACTAACAGAGTGTGGAAGTCCTCCTGGTGTAGTTCACATCTGACTCAGGAGAGAACAACACTCCAGTGGTTCAGGGTGTAACCGCTTATTCTTTATCCTCCCAACAAGCAGCACAGCGACAGATTGATTCCTGTGTTTAACAAGTGCTTACTTCAGGGCATTGGCTGCCATAAATCCAGCTCGGTGCACTTGTATAAATACATATTGGGCTGTTTTTGCGCTATGCTTTAACCACACATGCTTCTGTTTTCCACTGACCTCCACAAGACAAATTCACGCACGTTTACTGTACTTATTCTGAAACAGCACTGTGCATGTACATGTGTGTGAAACGCGACTTGGGACTGACTAAATGGAAGAAACCATCTGCCAGGCCGCA